AAAACTCATCAGTGACTATGAGTTTTGTTGCTATGTCGTTAATGCGCAGTATTATAAGGCCGTGTACAAGGAATCGCTGTAAAATAACAAAAAAAATGTTGTGGTCGAGATAAGCAAATCTCATTGACTGCAATTGTTGAAGTTTGTTGCAAAAAGGATAGGGGCTAGATCACATCATAAAATATCACTTAAATTTGGGGAAAAAAATGTCTCTTGCTTTCAGGTTTTTTATGGAAAATTTGTCGGTGGAACAAGCCTATTTTGTCTTGTTCTTGAATATAAGCATTTTTTTTCTCTTTCCCAAATCTATATAAGGCAGGGGTGGCCAACCAGTCACAGACTAAGAGCCAATTGTTTTGCTGTGTTACAGCAAAGAGCCACATCATACAAATGTGCACTACATAAACATCACCCCATCCCTTACACACGCGCGTGCACACACACACACACCGCTGCTCAGACAGATGTATTGTAAATGTCATCAACATGATAATGACAGAAATTGACTCGTACAGTACTAAAGGGCTGGACTCGACTCTCCCCGGTTTGCAGGCGCTTCCACCGCTCGCTTTAACCGCTCCCCGGTACTTTTTATTAATGGTTTGGCCCTGGTTCTAACCGGGCGAGTTGATACCAGAACAATATCACGTCAGCGAACATCAATTATGATTCCGCAATGAAAAAAGCAAGTTTCAAACCAGTATTCAGCAGAAACACAACTGTCTTTATCGAACCATGATTCACTCTCTGACTGCGTTTAGCAAAAGATATAGATTTGACACATAACACCAACACCACTTTTGCTGATTCAGAACCACAGACACATGTTCAGTATAAGACCAGATACTTTTGCATTTGATTGAAGACAGACACTCACCAGGCAGAGTTGGCTTATCTCCTGGTGTAGCTGGTGCTAGCTGGTTTTAGCATGTTAGCCGGTGTTAGCCGATGTCCGTAAATTTAATCCATTTGGTCAAACCACCTCCAGACTTTTCGGTTTTGCCTCTACTTCTGCTGCTGTGATCTTTCATTTCACGGTTGTCAGCTTTTTAACTTTTCTCTGCATTGTCATGTTCGTGGGAATCATTCTGCTCCGTCCTTAGTGCTAGCTCCACAAACACCTTCTGGTTTCTGGTGGAACCATCGAGCTCACACTGGTGTCCTCTCCTCAAACTGAGGAAGGTGTTGCCCTCATCCAGCGACCAAGGAATTGTTTTCCGTACGGACGTCATGGGTCGAGGCAACGTGTTGTTTGTTATGATATTTGCAACAGCTGAGGCTGCAGAGTGATTGACAGCGCATCTGACCAATCAGAATTGACGTTCGCCGACGTCAGATTGTTTTGGCGGCCCGGCTAGTGGAGTGGAGTCCGCCTTTACTATGGGTCAGAACTACATAGGGAATGAAAGGCAGCACCACCACCGAGGCGTTTTTGACGCTTGTCGTGTGAAAGCCCGAGAGCCGCACGGAACCAGCCAAAGAGCCGCATGCGGCTCACGAGCCGCGGGTTGGCCACCCCTGATATAAGGTGTCAGAATGTGGTGCACTACCGAGAAAATTATGAAAAAAACCAGTTTCATCTATGCGGTTCTATATTTTAAATAATTGCAGGGATCTTTTTTTCTACTATTTTAACATGTGTGTGCTATAGGGTGGAATTATATGAATATTTTCTGAAATTGGGGGTATGTGTATGAGGTACTGGCCCTATAAGTGTGCGTTTTCATATTCAAACATAAGTAAACATTGTTGGTCAGATTGGTCAATGTTGTTTTCAATATTTTGCCAGAATTTCACAGCCTGTGGACGATATGTTAACTGAATTTTGTAGACTTTTATAATGATTTTAAGGAATCAGCTTTGAATTCAAAAGAAATTAACCTTATATTCTAACAGAAACAAACACATGTGTGATTTTATGAATCTGTCTCTGCCACTGGTCACAGACACATCTCATTCAGCAGCTCACCATGAATGAAAAAAAAAAGTTTAATGGTCAAATTGGGCTATAAAAATGGAACACTGTATTTCTTTTGGGTAAGGGTTAGATTTTTAGGGTTAGGATTAGAGTAAAGGCTGTTTTTTAACACCAGTTTCATCAACCTACTATTATAAGGTATTCTTTTTTGCTGCTTCTGTTAGAATACATTAAAATCTTTAATAATCTCGTTTGATCCAACATTATTCAAAATCCTAAACATTTTTTCTCTTGCCATACCTATACCCGCACCATGTCTGTCCCTTATCCCCACACACGCTTATAGCCTTCTCCCCTGGCAGATCACTAGCCATGCTCTGCTGCCATACCCCCTCTCTCTCCCTCCCTCTGTCTCTCTCTCTCACTCTCTCTCTCATGGATACAGTGTTACCATGGCAGCCACGTTTTTTGCACGTGGAAAATCACACAGAGTTAAAAAAATAAAAAAATAAAATGGAAGCAGCCAGGCAGACCACTCCCATCGATTCTCCGCATGGCCCAGCATCGATCCAGTCTACACCCACCGCAAACACGTCTTCACAAGGCAAACACCTGAGTCTGCCTGAGCTGGGACCGCCAGTGGATTTCTGATCAAGAATGTAATGATATTATACTTTCAGATGCGCTGATCGATACTGCTGTTTAAAGTGTCATAGATGGCTCAGTGGCTCTGGACCAGACTTGTCAAAAAATACACAGTAATGCTATGTGTATATGAGTGAGGGCCAGTCAATAATACCTCGGAATATGTATAGCTTTAAAACTGCTTATTTTAATAGATTTGAATTGTGAATCTGTCTCACTATGTATCATGAGTACAGAATCTATGTATCTGTTTATGCTTCATCCAACCCTTTTTAAAACATGTATGTGAGGGTATGCTATTTGTTATGTAGATTTGTGTTTATTTTTGATCAATATATCTATCTGCCAGTTTCTATATCTATCTGCCAGTCTCTATATCTATCTACACTGTATCTATCTATCTACGGCATCTATCTATTTACCTGTTATCTGTCTGTACTGACTTAAGTTTAAAGTTAAAAAAATAAATACATGGTTTGTCAAGATAGAATTGTATTATGAGCGTTAAAATATGTGTTGTTTATGTACTATTACTGCTATAGTAGTGCCATTGCAGGATTACAGAATACCATGAATACCATGTGCAAAGTCAAGCACTGAGTAAGAAAGAGAAACAGACCATTGAATACTTTTCAGTTCCAGCTGATTTTATTTCCTTCTTGGAAGAAAAGAAAAACAAATAAAAAACTGAACAACAATCTGTACAGAGGTCTGAGAGGCAGTGATTGACCCAAATGTTGGCTGGTTTTAGAGCAATTAACATCAACAAAATGATATTGGCATGATCGGACAAAACATGTTCATACACAGCATATTGCACAAATGAGGAACGAAAAAATAAAATATAGGACGAGAGATAAAAACATGGTCTGAGGGGACTTTTTCCAAAATAAAAAGTAGTAGAAGAGGAAACTCCTGGACCACAATCATCTTCAACTTGTCCAAAGATGGCTGTCCTAGTGCCTGTCGTTGATCATACATAAAACACACAATCTTTGCTTATAGTACAGTCAGTTTACATAAATATCTTCATGTTATTATCTTTTAGAAATCTTAAACACAACAGCTATAGCTACATATACCTGAATCTGAAATACAAATGCTATTTGCCATGCCATAATATAGGAAAACAATTAGCCTGCTATACTTAACCAACAGGTACAGAAAGGTTAAATACTATTTTTTGATGCAATTTGCGCAATAACAGATGAAGCACTTCATACATTTCCCTTCCTCCAAGTCTAGGCAAAGTGGAATGAGTGTGAACGTCATCCAGTGGTTTTTGAAATAAAACTTATCTTGATTTAAAAAAAAAAAACGAAGAAGAAGAAAGCACACAGAGGTATTAGCTCTATCCAGAAAAGAAAAACAGTGACTCTCTGGGGTCTGCGCAAAAGTGGCCGCTCAGACGCGCTGCATGGCCTGTGGTTATTGGCTGGTGAAAGATGGAGTCACTGCGCCGTTAAAAAGCATGTGGGTAAATACTGTAAACACTGTGTGAGGTCAGATTGTGCCAAACAAACCCCGCTCTCTGCGACACCAATGTAGAGCCAATGTCTACCCACTCGCTGGAAACCCCCGCTCCCATAGATTTTGTACAAAAATACAAGTAGAAAATCATGACACACGCAACATCTCCGTAAAAGTGAGAGACATTTTTGAATTAAATAAGATACACTTCTAGCCCTTCCTTCCTCCTGCGCTGGATACAGACAGGTGTATGTGCACAAACACAAACGAGACCTGTACGAGAACAATACTTCTATGTATAAAAAGGTTTGGCCGGTATAAATACATCGATATAAAAAGAAACGCCGTCTGACACAGAGGAACTACAAAGTTGAAGCACTAGGCAGAAAGGATGCGCGTCAGGGGGAGGGGAGCGTTGGTCCTGAATTGTGCACTGAGTGTTTCAAAAGATTCAGAATACAAGGGCTTCTGAAGTTTGGAATCCGTCAAAAAGTCCTGCCGTTGAGAGAGAAGCTGGTGATAGTGAATTGTGTCCTGTAAAATGGTCACACGAATGCGTAAAACTACGCAGCAATGAACATTTACAAACAAAATCCTCCCGTTATCATGCGTGTTGTTTGGAGGAAAAAAACACCTGAATAGCAACTTGATGGTCAATGTGAATTGCCTATACCATTTGAAAACAACGTGACTTACTCTGCCCCGAGCCAAATGTAACATCAATGTTCATCAAAAAAGTTCACCGCGGGTTGCGTCTCACTGCGCTCTGCTGCTCTACATTCACAAATGCAAACTAAGCACTTAGTTCACTCCCCCTTCTCTTCTCTCCTCGTCTCCTCTCGTCTCCTCTCGTGTCTGTCTGCTCTGCGCGTGCCCGTCTGTCCATGAGTGCGGGCGCGTACCGTCTCCACTGCTCCCTTTTTAGTTAGTGAACAATAAGCGGACACCTGTCTCTTTCTAAGAAGTGTCAGTAGGTGAACACTAGGTTGGAGATGGTGGACTCCAGCCAGTCTCCTGAGATCAGCTCGCTCACCTCGGGGGTGCAGTAGTCGGGGAAGTCAAAGTGAGAGCCGGCCCCGCACTCCCCAAAGCTCCAGTCCAAGTCCCGGTCCAGCTCTGCGTCCGAGAAGCCCATGCCCCCTGAGCTCTCTGCTGCGGACAGCGCTTCAAAGGCGCCCGGGCTTGGCTGGATCTCCAGCCTCTCGTCCTCAAACTCCTCGTCCGAGGATGAAACGGAGGAGGACGAGTGCGCGGCAGACGGTGTGGGGGACGAGGCGCGTGCATACCCGGAGGATGAGGAGGAGGAGTCGCTGGTGGCCGGGCTGTGCTCGTCGTAAAGGCTGAATGGGTCGCTGGACTCCGCTGAGCTGCTTAGAGTGGGGCTGGCTGGGACCCCCGCTGATGGGCTTAGTTCCGCGCTGCGTCTCGCCTTGTCTGGGATGTGTCTGGCTCCGGATGTGGAGCGAGACTTGAAGAGAGACTGGTGGTCCCCGGGAGAGACGTAGTCCAAGCCCATCTGCTTTTGCTTGTGCGTCCTGCTTCCTGATGACGCTTTAGAAGCAGGGCTTCTCTTGCTCGCACCGGCTTTCCTCTCTCCGCTCTTCTCCGGTTTACTGCCGCCAGACTTGACCTTCTTCCTGGGCCGGTACTTGTAGTCTGGGTAGTCAGCCATGTGCTTGAGCCGTAGCCGCTCTGCCTCACGGATGAACGGGATCTTGTCCGTGTCTTTGAGCAGCTTCCACCGTTTGCCCAGGCGCTTGGAGATCTCCGCGTTGTGCATGTCTGGAGACTGCTCCATAATCTTCCTCCTCTCTATCTGGGACCAGACCATGAAGGCGTTCATGGGTCTCTTGATGTGTCCCGTTGGAGTCTTGCACCACGCCAAGTCCCCACTGGTTCTGTCCGTAGATGAAGGGGACTCTGGTGTGGGAGACGAGTCCATCTCCATGTCCATGTCGTCCCTGTCGCTGTCTGTGTGGCTCATGTGCTGCACCATGGTGCTAAAAAGTTCACAATTTTATCAGTTAGGCTCAGTTCAGTCTGTGTTCAAAGTTCTCTTAGGAGTTTGCTTCTTTTCTTGTCCAAAAAGGCAATAAAAGCAAAAGTAATCCGTGCGTCTTGGTGGCTCAGCTGCCGGTGCGGCTGAACTCTCGCCCGGGAACTTTGAGCTGTCGCCGCTGTGGGCAGAGCGAGTCCCTTATGTGAACCTGGCTCTGTGCGCGTGAGGAACCATGTGGTTGTATGAAGCAGCTGCGTTTTCTCATAGTCTCCTTGTGTCCCGTGCGCTTTACTGATATTACTGTAAACACAACAACGGCAACCTCCAGCATTTATAGCCTCAGCGCCAGACGCACACACCAATGGGCGGCTGTCTCTATCCTGAATTTCCTCCCTGACCCCGCCCCGCTCTTTTCCCATTGGTCGAATAAAAAAAGTGGTAATAATAATAATAATGTGCAATGAGGATCGCTGTGTCTGACCTCATTCCTGTCAGACTCCAATGGAAGAAACTTGCGCGTTTAAAGGAACACCGTGTCCTTTACCCAGAGCGAAGCATTGGGGATTTAAACTTAGAAGTGACATTAGTTTCATGTGGACTAGTGGGGACTATATATAGAAGGTTTGTAATAAGTGCTGAGATGACACTAAAATTATAACCACAACATGGTAGCGTGTTAGTCAGGAGAGGAGAGTGCGGGCAAAACCCACCCAAACAAACCGGAGCCAAGCTACTATTTACAAACCATTACTACATCAGAGCAGCCACAAGTAGGGGGATAAGAGTTCTGTTTACAAGATACTTCACCGCTCCATATGGGCCAGACTAAAGCAAAACTGTAATTATTAATGTTATGCCACTTTGCCATACGTTTTTAAACATAGATGTGATATTGAACAGGGGCAGTTTGAAAGTTGGGGTTGTCAGGTCAGGGGCCCCCTTTTTACATTTTGCTTAAATATTAATTTTCTTTTATTAATATTAATCATGATAAATATGATTATTATAATGCAAAATAGAGAAATACACCCAGACCTAAAATAAGTGGATTTGTTTAAAGGATATTAGTAAACAAACAATACAATTATAATAGCAGACACAAATGTTCCAATTGACAGGAGCAAAAAGTGAAGCCAAAAATATACTCACCATGATTTATAGTTTATTTTGGATTGTTTTTACAAAGTCCAAACACAATATTTCAAAGTTCATCCCGACATTTACAGAAACCACAGTAGTGGATTACACATGGTTAGTTGAGACATTTGTTTCTAAAAGTAAAACGCAGACCCAGAATAAACAGCCTCAGATTGACTTTATATGGAACACTACTATAGCTTGCTGGGGCATGTCCTCACTGTCCGCACACAGCCTTTCTCCCCTCCTCCTCCTCCTCCTCCTCCTCCTCCCCCTCCCCTCCCACTCTCGCTCGCCCGGCCGTCCTCTCTCTCCTCCTATCTCCTCATGTGCTCATCCGTCTCACTGTTACACCGGGCGTCGCTAGATGTCAGGCTAGAGCCAACCGCAGAGGCCCCGTCTGGCCCTGTATGCATTATATATGGGTCTGTGTGTGTGTGTTAACATGTGCTTTAGATTTATCTCTGTCCTAATCGTCCGCACTAGCTACATTCATTAAATCTGCTATAGGCAGGTGATGTCATTAGCCCGGGCTTTGCTCATATCCTTCAGAGTGGCACAACTATTTTTTTCCCCCTCACGTTCTCTTCAGCTAACTATATATCAACAGTGATAGTGATCAAAGCAAACGAGGGAATATTGTGTGCAGCAATATTTTAATCAAAAACAACTGTCTATTTATAAATTCATATTCTTCAGGTTATTGACAGTATTGCAGCCATTCCACTCATAGCATATTAGACAAAGCTCAAAGCTGAAGCCCAAATATTGAGTTGTGTGTGTGATGTTGGTTGTAAATGGGAAGCTTGATGGGATTAGGAGCGGCCTTTGACAAATGGACAATGTGGAGATAATGTATAAAACTGTATAGATGAATTGAACAACCTCAATGTAAAACTATCTTAAATCTCATTAAAACTGGACTCCTGTTAGTGCCCAGAGTCAGGACTAAACATGAGGAGGCTGCATTTCTGATTCATGCTGCTAAAATCTGGAACAGTCTTCCTGAAGATGTGAGACCGGCCTCCTCTCTGACAGTGTTTAAGACAAGGTTGAAAACAGTTCTGTTTAGCTGTGCATACAACTGAGGGATTTTATGTTTTTGTCTTTCTTTTTAATGTACTGGGAATATTTATGATTTTATTTTGTTCAGCATTTTGAATTGACTTGTGTATGATTTGTGCTATACAAATAAACTTGCCTTGCCTTGCCTTACAACAATTAAAATGGGCGAAAATAAATTTCTACACATATGGTCAAACTCACACCTCAGGTTTAGACGTGGTGCTGCTGCTGCCTGAGGAAAGTGGGTAGTTCCTGCCTTTTGTGCCAAATGTCAGAGGTCAGATTCCTCAACATGGGACAAACTTCAGCCACAAAGTCCAGATTTCTGCTGAAAGACATGCAGCTGTGTCAGGAGTCATGTGTGGAAGCCATTCTACACAGAGCCATTCTATAATGACCCAGAGGTGGAGGTTACTGAGAATCACTGGTTTAGGTTGCGCCTTATGGACCAATGGCTCTGTGTGTTTTTAATCATTGCATTTCTTGTGTTTGAACTGTTTGATTCTCCGTGTTGGCAAATTTAGTTTAGTTTTCATATCCCAAAACACTTTTTTTTGAATGTGGAGAGAATGCAATGCAGTGAGTAATTATAATAATATAGTTGGACATTTGTAACTTTTATGGATCAATAAGTCAATAAGCTGTGGGCATTATCACACGTCCATAACTGTGCTGACCAGTCCTGACCTGCCTGTGTACAATATACTCTGCCTGCCCAGTGCAAGCCCGTGCATGTGAAGGAGTACTGTCATGCAAGGTATAGAATAAATAAAGCTTTGTGAGGCAGCTTTACGGTCTTCTATCAAACTGTCAATGTAAAAACAAGGCTCGTATGCATTATTTCTGATTACTGATAGATTGCATTTTTATATTTCACTTCTACCTTAGATTTTATAGTAGTATTTATTTATTATTCAGAGGAGCATTGTCCTCCTGGCAGTAGCAATCCACTTTATATGCACGGTGACCCCTGCAGTTGTGTGGCGCTGGTAGTAAAGAGGTGAGAGGCAGTTAAGTAGAAATATTACACGCTTTGTAAATAAAAGTGTGAATAAAAAAAACAGGCAGGTCTGTCTGGGAGAGAGAGGGAAAGAGAGAGAGAGGGAGCCCAGGGCTACATGATGTCATTCAGGCGCTCACACTCAAATGTGCACTTGATGACTGCTTGACTCACTCACGTATCAGCAGCTGGGGGCCACTGTTAGTCAGAGCGCCGCTGTTACTGGACACTGCTGCGAGGAGAGAGCACACGCTATAGATTGCGACTGTATATTCTTAGATTGGGTTTATGTGCTGTATAAGCCATAAACAGGTGAACGTCTTTGTGCCAGTCCCGAGCCGAGGAGCGGTGCGGTTGTGATGAATGTGTGTGTCAGACTGTATTCTTAAAGCGAACGTGTTTATGTGAATTCAGCTTTTGTAACCACTCTAAGGTGTGTCTTGTGTTTGCTTACTCAGGGTGCTGCATGGTTTTATAAAGAATAGAATTATATTGTCCAGTTCTTTGTAAGTATGAATGGAAAGTGTAGTTTGGGCCTGTGTCTTGTGTGTGTTTGTGTTTGTGTGTGTGTGCTTTGTGTATTATGTGTGTGCTTTGTGGCTGGAGTTTGAATGTGTACACAAGTTATAATCAATATATTTGATTAATTGACATACAATATTACGAAACACATGTGTTCTATATTTTTTGTGTTTGAATGGTTTGATTCTCTGACCTGTGCTGGCGTTTGTTAAGTCCTCTGAGATAACTACTGTTGTGATTTAGGACTATATAAGAATACATAGAATTGGATTGAGTTGAATTATTAATTATAGAATGAATAACAAAATCAAACAGAATTTGAAATGTGCTGCTTGGCGCTACTCTTTTACTGTAAAGTTAACACATACTTCATCTTCCCTATAGGGAAATTAGTCGTCTGCATTTGACCCATCCTGATGCCACTTGGGCCTCTGTCAGGAGCAGTGGTCGCCACAGTGCAGCGCCCAAGGACCCATCTCCAGATCAGCTTGGTCAGCAGCACAGCTGGAGGATTTTACCGATTGTAAATGTTTTTAATGGTAGGGTAAACCGGAGCAACTTGGAAGAACCCAGGCAGACACAGGGATAACATGCAAACTCCACTCAGAAAGGCCCAAAAAGGAGTAGTGCCTAACCCAGGCTTGAGACATGTTCAAAACTATGACTTTTATAGCTTTATCGTCCCAATAAAGCTATAAAAGTCAGAGGAAGAAACTGCGTAGGTTTCCTCCAGGTGCTCCGGTTTCTCCTACCACTAAAAACATGTACAATAGGTACAGTATGAATGTAACAAGTGATTGAATGGATGGTGTTGATTGGAGGCTTTGATTCGTCAGTATGTTCGGCGTCTCGCTTCCGGGTGTAGAGTGATTGCAGCAATATCTGAACTTTGAACATTGTAAAGCTCTTTGGGTGACCTTGGTCTGTAGAATGCACTATATAGTGTTTTAAATCTCATCTTAAGACGCATTTTTAACAGATAATTTTTTTTAAATTACATTTTAATTGTTTTCACTGCATATATTATGTTTTACTTTTTCAATGTTTTCATTATTTTAAACATATGAAGCTGGCAAACCTGTATATGTAAATGTGTTACTTTTATCTCTGTGAAACACTTTTGAAACACTTTTGTTTTTTAATAAAAATTGGATTGGATTAATAATCATTCCTTACTTATTTACTTACCACACCACCTTTTTGGAATAGTAGTATCAATACCAGACCTTTCACAATCTCCCCTTGTTGTTGTGGTACTTCTTAAACATAGGCCAAAATCAACAATATCCATTACCCAGGGATCAAACCAGAGTGCTTCCTAATTGTAGGTTAACTCCTATGCCAACTCCCTCAGCGGTGCATAAATCCATCCATCCATCCATTTTCTTCCCCTGAATCCATTTCTGGGTTGGGGGGGTGGCCAGAGATGCCACCCAGTTCACAGAGCACCAGCCCCTCACTGATCCTCCTGCAGGTGGTGAGTCCACAGGAGCTGAGATCTTTCAGTGGGAGCTTCAGGCAAAGTGGGGTTAAGTGTCTTGCCCAAGGACACAACGACAGCAGTCATCAGTGGGAGTCGTGAAGTAGGTCTTACGGTGGGCTCGAACCCACGTCCTTCAGGCTCAAAGGCCAATGCTCTACCAACTGAGCTACTGTCGCTCCGACCGGTGCATAAATATTAGTCAAAAATATTAAATGGAAGCAATAAGCTAGACATAACATTAATTGCGCAATTCGGTTCGCAACATTATACCACGCCGTTTTGCGTCTGGCCAAAAAATCATAAAAGCCGAGAGATTTTGCATGCAGGCAGGAGCTGTGTACGTGAGAGCACACGTGGGGGCCCGGGCTGGCTTAATTATACTTCCTGATTAGATCTTTATGTTCACAACACACACCGTTCTGCCTGTCTATCCTTTATTCATCACAAGATATATGTCACGCTAAAAACAGTCGTAAACTCTTTAAAATTTCACAACACGCAGGCCTCCATCTTGGCCCCCCCCCCCGGTGCTTACATAAATCAAATCCATAAATAATAATGAGCTGCCTTCATCAGTCTATATCTTTAGCCTGCCCCAATTACAAGTGAGCACCTGCCACAAAGATTACTCATGTTTGCTATCTAGTCGCTGTCTATCTGCCTTCTCTCCCCCTCTAGCTTAGCGCGCCCTATGCGTTGTCATGCGCCGGTGTTGTTTGCACAGGTGAAAATACATTGCCGTAATCTTATCTGATACGTGAAAAGCAGATGTCAGGGTAAAGCTCGTCTTCCAAAACGTTTCGGAAAGGTGTGCGGCGGCGGCGGAGGTGGTGGTAAAGGCCGTCGCGTCGAGGCTGGTCCTATATCGTTTTGTCATCTCTCTCCACGTGTTTACCCCAAATACACGGGTGCTTTGTCTCCCGCCTTGTTGACGCCTGGAGGGGTGGTGTCATTATGAAAGAGTGCGAAAGGGAGACTGGAGCTGGCGGAAAAAAGAGACAACTTCACAAGAGGGAACGAAAAAAAAAAAAACAACAACAGAAAAAAGACATTGTGACTCACTTGATGTTGATATATTTTGGGGTTAGAGCAAAAAGATATGGTTGTGTTTTGTCAAGCCTTAAAGTGGAAGAGGATCAAAAGTGGAAAGTTTTAATGTGCACTTTCCAATGATAGCACATCCGTTTATCCTTTTCAGGTCATGGCTTTCTATAGTTTGGCCTCTATAGCGGAAATATCGCAGAATTTCAATGCCAATGAGCAAGACACTTTTCCACAGCTGCCTATCATGGTGTCATTTGCGTTATATATGAGATACAGCTTTTTGTACCGGTATTCTTGACATAGTGTAAAATGAATATGAAACTATGTCTATTATACTATACTTTATACATTTTTTTTTCTGTATATGTCACAAGATTGATCAAAAATTGCTACAATAATTGAGAAGTAGATTTTTAATTTTTAATGTTGAAATTTACTACTTCACACACATGTTTTAATCCAATATATTTGACCTGAACTTTGTTTTGTTGTTATACAGTAAGCATATCAAAATGGCCGGAGATAAGGAGTAAGTAGTAGTAGTAAGTAAGTAAGTAAGCTTTATTTATATACCGCCTTTCACAGACCAGAGTCACAAAGCGGTTTACAATTGTTATTTTTTGGGCACTTGTCCTCTCACTCCACACAGAGATGGGAGCGGGGTCGCCGAACAGAAGGCGCATGCCAGACCTATTGTACATATTTTTAGTGGTAGGGGAAACCAGAGTACCCGGAGGAAACCTACGCAGACACGGGGAGAACATGCAAACTCCACTCAGAAAGGCCCTGGTCCGGCCGGGATTCGAACCCAGGACCTTCTTGCTGAGAGGCGAGAGTGCTATCCACTCAGCCACCGTGCCGCCCAGTCGTAGTAAGAGTTTGTTATTTATTAGACTCTTTGTGCTGAGTGGTGGTTCTTTTTTTTCCTCTTTAGGGATGTGATGGAAGCCAAAAAATCATGTATGTGAAAGCTAGTGGTAGATTGTTTAATTTTGTGGTTATAAAGTTAGGTTCCTCAGCTTTAAGCATACAGACATGATCGTTAATGGTTAAACGCATAATAAAGTTTTAGGCAACCATTTTTAAGTTCCCATTTAAATATTTGTATTGTATATTGTATAGGATGGGTCAAATACAGAGGACACATTTCCCTACGGAGACTACAAGGAGTACAGTAACCTTAAAACACAAACAAAAATCCAATTCAATCCAATCCACGTTATTTATATAGCACATTTTATAAAACAAATTTCCAAAAGTGCTGCATTGAGATAAAAGCATATAAAAATTCTTGCTGGGTAGTAAAAACATGCACAGATGAAGTAGTCAAAAGTGCAAAAACAATATAGTCTGATGCCCACTTGGGAAATCCCTTAAAAAAAAAAAATTGTGCTTGAAACCACGGAATATGACCCTGTGCAACATCTTGAACAGTCTGCTGTATGAGAAGACCGTCTTTTGACTGAGTTTTGTCTTTAAGTTATTGGCTGCTATTTTCTCCCAAGTCAATAACTGAATGGAATGGGTCAGATGAAGCACGCCGAGTAAAACCTATTTCAAATCAATATGCCGCACACTGCACACTGGGAGGTATAGATGATTTACTGATGCGACCCCAGGAAGAAGAGGCCTCAAGGAATGACGAAGAATTACTATACAATAAACAGTTATGTAATTAAACTGTGTATCTCAAATAAATATACAGGGACTTTTAGTATATAAAGCATGCATTTTAGAATTTATCTGCTACGGAGGTGTAAAAATAACATAATAAAACACGTTTATTCCAGCGGGATCTGCATAGAGAGGTGAATGAATGATTTTAATATGCGATTTTTAATAAAACATAAACCTTGACCCGATATGTCAGGCTCACCCTAGAGCAAACTGCAGGCTAAATGAGCTTCCATCATGTGACTGTGAGGAAGTCTGCCTTTTTACTGGGAGCTGCCTCTGTAATAACCGAGACACACATTAAAAACTGGGAGTAGAACACTGTCGACTCTGTGTGTATGAAAAGCGTGAAGCGAAATTAAGAACGCAGCAGGATATGGGAATGTGAAAACGCAGGGAGTTTGGTTATGGTACGCGTCATTGCCGTCAAGCTTACTCATTAACATCTAGCTGGCTTTTTCAGCTGCCTCTAGCAATGACGCTGCTACTTCGACCCCATAGCCCGTCATCAGGGGTCAAACGCACAATGAGGGCCTTTGTGCTGGCCCTCTGTGTGCGTACATGTGTGTCCAGCGCTAACTGAATTGGAGCCTTTCCAGCGATTCAATGTTTTAAAGCCAGTGGGAAGTCCCATCACCCCCCTCCTTGTCCACCCTCCTGTCTGCCCATCAGTTAAACAGTAAAGGAGTAGAAAAAAAACCTCTATAAGACAAAGCAGTGAATTTGCATACACATGGGTACATGGGTGAGTCATCGCCAGTTGCTCAGTGTTTAGGGATATAGACGGTGCAGGTGGCCACCATAGAGATCCAGCCCACTCGCTCAAGACAACAACACCAAGTTATACTCAAGTTGCCAAGGAACAAAGCAGTGTGCTCTCTCAGCTCTGTCTGTCTATCTGTGGGTCTAGTGTTACTGCAGGTGTAGTGCACTGGACTGGAACAGCAAGCAACAGAACAAGGGCAATGGGGACTGGTGCACTCAACAACAATGATAGACTTTGTTCCAGAGATATACAGAATAAGAAGTTAAAATTTGTATTGCCTGTGTGGAAACTCATTTGTGATATATTTTGGAATGACTCAGATGTAATGTCAAAGAGTAGAAAACAGGAGAGATTGCCAAAACAGATATCTGGAGTCTAGTTTGCTTACAAATGGTGAATCAGTGGAAAAGTGTATACACAATGATGTCATCATTATTGGACTGAAACACGATCAAAACAAGCAGGTACTACAGTGAAAAACCCCATGGGTTTACAAAGCATTTTTTTCCAGTGGGCAGCAATATTAAAATAATCTTCAGTTGAACACAAGCAAGAAAACAAGCTTTCAAAATCTGACCTTAATTTAAAAGAGGTCAGATTTAATGATATTAACTACCGATCACTGCCCAATGTATTCTACTCTATAATGTATATGCTAACAAGTAGAACCCATTCGTAGTCAGAGAATCCTGATGGCCTCTTCATCCTCATTGAATATTTTTTGGCCCTCTTAATACATCTTTCCGGAATCAATATTCTGGTTTGACAACTATTTCCCCCATCGCCATTATTCAAAAGACCAAATAACATTCAATCAAAATTTGTAATGAATTGAACGCCAAGCTGAAGAAGTGAAGAAATAACAAGACCTCACTGTGGAAAAGGTTCTTGACCATTGGTCTCATGGGACTAGGCAAGTCTTGTTTAGCGACTCCTACTGATCGGGTAAACTCACTGTTTATCCAACACTACAACAGAGAACTGTGAAGGCTCCTGGGGTCTCCGTGGTTACACAGTCAGAGTATTTTGCAGTTGCATAAATCTGAGCCTGTAGGAGCTCTGTCACAGAGGGGGAGCTTGGAGAAGAGTTGATACTCTTTCCCCTCAAGAGGAGCTGAAGTGGTTTGGCATCTGTTCTAGGGAAGTTCTTGGTATGTCCTATCAGGAGGACCCCGAAGAAGACCCAGCAATGGTGGAGGTACAGTGTCTCTCAGCTGGCCTTGGAATGCCTTGGGACTCCCCCAGATGAGCTAGAGAGGGTGTGTATGGAGAGGGAATTCTGGGCATCTCTGATCAGGCTGCTGCCTAAATAAGGAAAAGAAAATGGATGAATACACAATAGCTATTCACAATAAGGGGGAATTGAAGCACTACTATTTTGATTCAGATCAATAAGTCATATTCTTTATTCAAAACAAAGGAAAATCTTAGCAAACAAAGGTAAATCTTAGAAATTGCAATAAATATTTCAAATTTAGTTTTCCAGAACATTTCACGATATTAGAAGTCTCCATTTGTTTACAACATCTTGGAGATGCACCCAGTTCACAGAGCACCAGCCCCTCACTGATTCTCCTGCAGGTGGTGAGTCCACAGGAGCCGAGATCTTTCAGCGGGGGCTTCAGGCAAAGTGGGGTTAAGTGTCTTGCCCAAGGACAAAATGACAGCAGACATTGGTGGGATCAGTGAGTCGTCAAACCCACGACCTTCAGGCTCAAAGGCCAATGCTCTACCAACTGAGCCACTGTCGCCGTGATGATCTGTTCTTTATTCTGTTACATTTGTACACTTGAAACTGCAGCAAGTCCTAAGTAACAGTTGTTTTTTTGTGCTTTACAATTGTTTTTTTTCTTGATTTCTTTTCTTCTTGAGATGTTGCTGCAGTACAGTGTTTATTGTTCTGCACTGGTCCAGACCAGAGAAGAGAGGATTCATGGTCCAAAACAAGCGGATCAGGCAACAATCCACTGGCGGAATGCTTACTTTAAAATAAAATGGGTAACACTTTACATTACGGGCCGGTAAGTCCATGGTACTTACAGTGGTACTTCTAGGTACTTACAGTGGTACTTCTAGGTACTTACGGTGGTACTTACGGTGGTACTTACGGTGGTACTTACGGTGGTACTTACGGTGGTACTTACGGTGGTACTTACGGTGGTACTTACAGGGGTACTTACGGTGGTACTTACGGTGGTACTTACGGTGGTACTTACGGTGGTACTTACGGTGGTACTTACAGTGGTACTTACAGTGGTACTTCTAGGTACTTACAGTGGTACTTCTAGGTACTTACAGTGGTACTTACGGTGGTACTTACGGTGGTACTTACGGTGGTACTTACGGTGGTACTTACGGTGGTACTTACAGGGGTACTTACGGTGGTACTTACGGTGGTACTTACGGTGGTACTTACGGTGGTACTTACGGTGGTACTTACGGTGGTACTTACGGTGGTACTTACGGTGGTACTTACAGGGGTACTTACGGTGGTACTTACGGTGGTACTTACGGTGGTACTTACAGTGGTACTTCTAGGTACTTACAGTGGTACTTCTAGGTACTTACAGTGGTACTTACGGTGGTACTTACGGTGGTACTTACGGTGGTACTTACGGTGGTACTTACGGTGGTACTTACGGTGGTACTTACGGTGGTACTTACAGGGGTACTTACGGTGGTACTTACGGTGGTACTTACGGTGGTACTTACGGTGGTACTTACAGTGGTACTTACAGTGGTACTTACAGTGGTACTTACAGTGGTACTTACAGTGGTACTTACAGTGGTACTTCTAGGTACTTCTAGGTACTTACAGTGGTACTTCTAGTGGTACTTCTAGGTACTTATTGTGGTACTTACAGTGGTACTTCTAGGTACTTACAGTGGTACTTAGAGGTACTTATTGTGGTACTTACAGTGGTACTTCTAGGTACTTATTGTGATAATTCTAGATACAGCTGTAACTTAGTAATTCAAGGACACTACAGTATTATTCCTATGTAGTAAATGTGGTACTTCTACATACATACATACAGAGGTCATTTGTAGGATTGTTTGACTATAAAACATAAAACAACATTATGTAAAACAAACGTCTTTATTAATATGGAATAAGTAGCACAGAAAGGACAGTATAAATACATTTAATGCATATTTCAAAACAAGTTTCAAGGACAAGGGAAACACTGCAAGAACTAGGTACCCAACCCAAGTAACAAGAATTACACATTACCAGGTACTTACCAGCCAAGTACCAGGTACTTACCAGCAAGTACCAGGTACTTACCAGCAAGTACAGTACCAGGTACTTACCAGCAAGTACCAGGTACTTACCAGCAAGTACCAGGTACTTACCAGCAAGTACCAGGTACTTAACAGCAAGTACCAGGTACTTACCAGCAAGTACCAGGTACTTGCTGGTAAGTACATGGTATACTATATAATTACTGGTATCACTAGTACTTATGGGTAAGTCCTTTGTCTTATTATGGGCCAGTTCCTATGGTAAGTACCTGGTACTTACTATATAATTACTGGTGTTATCACTGGTACTTATGTTAAAGTCCTTTGTCTTATTATGGGCCAGTTCCCTATGGTAAGTACCTGGTACTTACTATATAATTACTGGTGTTATCACTGGTATTATGTTAAAGTCCTTTGTCTTATTATGGGCCAGTCCCTATGGTAAGTACCTGGTACTTACTATATAATTACTGGTGTTATCACTGGTACTTATGTTAAAGTCCTTTGTCTTATTATGGGCCAGTCCCTATGGTAAGTACCTGGTACTTACTGTATAATTACTGGTGTTATCACTGGTACTTATGTTAAAGTCCTTTGTCTTATTATGGGCCAGTCCCTATGGTAAGTACCTGGTACTTGCTGTTAAGTACCTGGTACTTGCTGGTAAGTACCTGGTACTTGCTGGTAAGTACCTGGTACTTGCTGGTAAGTACCTGGTACTTGCTGGTAAGTACCTGGTACTTGCTGGTAAGTACCTGGTAATGTGTAATTCTTGTTACTTGGGTTGGGTACCTAGTTCTTGCAGTGTTTCCCTTGTCCTTGAAACTTGTTTTGAAATATGCATTAAATGTATTTATACTGTCCTTTCTGTGCTACTTATTCCATATTAATAAAGACGTTTGTTTTACATAATGTTGTTTTATGTTTTATAGTCAAACAATCCTACAAATGACCTCTGTATGTATGTATGTAGAAGTACCACATTTACTACATAGGAATAATACTGTAGTGTCCTTGAATTACTAAGTTACAGCTGTATCTAGAATTATCACAATAAGTACCTAGAAGTACCACTGTAAGTACCACAATAAGTACCTCTAAGTACCACTGTAAGTACCTAGAAGTACCACTGTAAGTACCACAATAAGTACCTAGAAGTACCACTAGAAGTACCACTGTAAGTACCTAGAAGTACCTAGAAGTACCACTAGAAGTACCACTGTAAGTACCACTGTAAGTACCACTGTAAGTACCACTGTAAGTACCACTGTAAGTACCACCGTAAGTACCCCTGTAAGTACCACCGTAAGTACCACCGTAAGTACCACCGTAAGTACCACCGTAAGTACCACCGTAAGTACCACCGTAAGTACCACCGTAAGTACCTAGAAGTACCACTGTAAGTACCTAGAAGTACCACTGTAAGTACCACTGTAAGTACCACCGTAAGTACCACCGTAAGTACCACCGTAAGTACCACCGTAAGTACCCCTGTAAGTACCACCGTAAGTACCACCGTAAGTACCACCGTAAGTACCACCGTAAGTACCACCGTAAGTACCACCGTAAGTACCACCGTAAGTACCACCGTAAGTACCACCGTAAGTACCACCGTAAGTACCACCGTAAGTACCACTGTAAGTACCTAGAAGTACCACTGTAAGTACCTAGAAGTACCACTGTAAGTACCATGGACTTACCGGCCCGTAATGTAAAGTGTTACCATAAAATGCTAACAAAATGCTAACAAAGAATTCAGCATTTTACTTTGGAGTAGAGCAGAGAAAATGGTCCAAACCAAGGGTTAGGGTTATCTATCTATCTATCTATCTATCTATCTATCTATCTATCTATCTATTCTATAATCAAGGATATGTGGTTTGTTTTGTGTGCTTTTGTGTCCTTGTTCTGTTCTATTTTTAATTGTGATTTTAAAAGTTTGATTGAATTGAGTTTGGGGGTTGGGTGCTCTTAAGCTTCTTGCTTAAGCCCACTGAATGAATACTGTTCAAATAAATAAATAAACTCAGGCCTTTGAGCCTGGAGGTTGTGGGTTCTAGTCCACCATGAGACCTTCTGATGACTGCTGTCGTTGTCTCCCTGGGCAAGACACTTAACCCCACTTTGCCTCAAGCCCCGGTGAAAGATCAAGGCTATGCCATGGAGCGTTCATCCTCCTGTGGACTCACCACCTGCAGGAGGATCAGTGAGGGGCTAGTGCTATGTGTACTGGGTGGCATCTCTGGCCACCCCCCCAACCCAGAAATGGATTAAGGGGTAGACAATGGATAGATTGATGGATGGAATTGAGCAGCAGGCATAGACTTACTGTATTGTTTATTTTATAATCAAACATAGTGCAGTCTAATGTAATCAATTATTTCAAAACTTACTCGGACGCCACATTCTATGTCCTCATCCCATCCTAGCACCAATGAAGACAGTTGAAATAAATCAACAGAGAGTAGTTTTATGTGTATGAACTTATACATTGAGATAGATACATACGTAGATAGATGCAGAAGGATAGAGAGAAAGCTCTAATTCAGACCTGTAGTTCAGAGCAGAAAAGATTCAAAAGATATGTAGAATATGTTCTTGCACTTATGGATTGGGGCCCTGGTCCCAGAGCCTCATGCCGTTTACACACAACTATATAATGCTTGCACTAGAATGCACAGTTCTTTATACTTGCTTCTTATGTTAATTAGATATTTTTTGCTACTTTATTATGCTAAAGGTAGAGATATTATACTTGTTCTTTGATGCAAGAGTTAGAGATGTTACTTTATTTAGACTTATTTGATGTGTGCAATCTGAGTGCTCTTGTTTCCTCTCTCTGCTGTAACGTGCGCAACGATGACACTGAAATTTCTCCACTGTGAGACGAATAAATAAATCTTATCTTATCTTATTTAGGATAGTTATTGTTCATTTATCTTATGTTGTGGGCTCCTCATTCCCACTGCTCTGTAACTGGTAATGCAACACTGAAATATCCCCACAGTGGGACGAGTAAAGGATCTCTGTGTACAGGATTTAGTCTGTACAGATTTGTTTCCCACACACGCCACAATCCTACTGTAACATTAAGAGGAACACAAGTCTACTTCCAAAATCTCTAAACTCTCTTTTTTTCTGCTTAAAATCATAAGCTATTTTTCAGCACTTCAATACCGCCAAAGGGCAGCTTTGACAGGAACATAAAGACACAATCTGATGCTCTTATTGCACATAAATAGCGCTGTGTTTTGCCCGCTGCTAAAAAAAAGTTCCCCTATTTACAAGATAAACCAGAGAGTCACTAAAAAGAAAAAACCATCATGCACAGGACTGTCCTACATGCACTGCTTCTGCTGCGAATCCACATGCATCCCGCGCCCGTCTTGTAATCCAACCGCTTTTCTGGCCGAAGCAGGAGCAGAATCTTTCAGCAGAGGATGCAGAGGGGAACCAGAATGTGCGATCGCGAGCCGGAGGTGTGGTCAAGGCCAACGCCACTCCCTGGGAACTCCCAACATCTTTCGACTCCGGATGGTGACGAAGCAGGTCAGATGATGGCTGTGTCATAGAGCTCCCGAAATACCGATTCAGCCTCGCGCACATATAAACACACACACACTGTAGCCCGAAAGTCCCGCTGACGCCAAACCCACAGAAGCCAGTGCCGCTCACCAGTCTACCGCTGCAGGACCCAGACGTGCTGCAGAGTCAAATCCACTCCATGCACGCTCTCCCATCAAACTCTCTCGCTCTCTCCAACAGCTCCACTCAACTCACATACAACCAGCGCGATTTTGGGGGCATTGTCTAAAAGCCAGAGGAGTGGGAAGGAGCAAGCGAAAGAGAAGCGTTTTTTTGAGAAGTGGATCGACATGTATTTTAATTTTTTTTCCAGGTTTTTTTGTATATCGCGCAAAGTTGTTGGAAAAAAAAACCTCAGAGGAATTTGCTTCGTCATGACTGCAGCGGGACTGTCATCTTCTGGATCTATGGCGCAGGACTTTGAGAGTTTCGCCTGGCAGAAAGTTGTGACGGAGTTTTTGCGTCGCTTCGAGAGTTCTGATATCTGCTTGAAGTATTCAAGGAAATAGACGGATCGAGCGCTCGCCGACAGGAAGATTGGAACATCGAATTTGCATCAGTGCCAGAAATTGATACCTTTTTCTTTTTTTTGTGCTCATTTCCAGCTGGCAGTCTTTCCCCCTGTTTCCTATATTGTACCAACTCTGCAACTATAGCACCCTCCTCCCCCCCTCCTTTCTGTGTTGCTCACTGCAGCAAGCTGGCTAAGGTCAGGCTAGCTGCTCCTGTCCTCACGTAGCCCGCGGTGCCATGTCCTCAGCTGGGCATGCATTCGAGTCGCCGCAAGGGTCGGCCGAGCGAGAACCGGAGCGACGGAGGGAAGGAAGGAAGCAGCTCAGGAGAATCAGCGGCAGACAGGATCCAGACGCAGTGACCTACATCAGCCTGGGAAGAGAGAGGGATTCTGAGGAGAGGAGAGATGGGGAAAGGGATGGGGAGGGGGCAGTTGAGGATACATGGAAGCCAAATGTTATTCAATGGTATAAAAAAAGTGCATGATGTAGAATTTTTAAGAGAAATTCCTGTGTTGACTAGTTACAAAACATCAAAAAGAAAAAAAATCGGTCTAATCTTCATCCTGCCTTCACTTTCCACCTCTTTATTTTCCAGGTTGATGCCACTCTCGCTGTGGGAGGATTAGTCTGTGTCTCTGGCTGCCTGCTTATCTGTCTGTTGCCTAGTTCGCAGCAGAGGGAAGGGAGGGCTGTTGAATCGGGGTTTTTTTTTTACAGCGATGGCGTGGAGGAGGGAGAGAGACCCAGGCGGCATCGGTTGTGTGCAGCTCAGATCCACCCAGCTTATTGCGTTTCTAGCCTGCCGCGTACAGTCAGCCGAGGAGAGGAGAGGAGCACTGCGGCACAGGAGCGAGGACATTTTGTAATGTGCCGGGTGCTGGCAGGTGTGGAGTGGTGCACACGGGGGGGGGGGGGGGGGGGGGGGGGGGAGAGATGTAAAGACTTTCAAAGAGAATCAAATGCGTTATGTAAAAGGCGCGTCATCAATACAGAACTTGGGGAATGAGTAAACTGCAGCATCAACCTGCCAAGTTGTGCATAATGGCACAGTCTGGCTCAGGGAAAGGTCACATTCTCGCATCTGTAGTTTGTCTGAAAGAAAAAGCATTGTGTTGTGTTGTTTATCATGCAACATTCACGACTTGTATGGCCCAGTAGGGTGGTTACGAATGTGATTTCTCATCCTGAAGATCTCTGAAAGTACTTCCAAAGCAAACCGAAGTCGCAAAAATAGAATATCAGCAGCCATATCCCTGCCACGGGTTACCAAATTTGGCCCGACAGACCATTTTTAGTGAGTCCAAAAGATTCAGAACTTTTATCATTGACGGTTACAAGTTACCAGGGCATGTTATATAGAATTTTAAATCCAATTTTCTCAAGAAGACAACCATAGTATTTAAACTATTGTGGATATTAAACCCAATGTGCAAATGGGTTAAATTAATAAAACAAAAACAAATATTTGATTTTAGGTGTTTTCATTGTTCAAAAACCTATATTGTGTGATAGTTCTTATGTGAAGATAGTTTTGTGATGTCACTTGCTGGACTCTAATGCAAATGTATGGTGGAGTCTTCCAAGTGAAGGACAATAATATTGAGATGGAAATAAGTGATTTGTGGACCTTTTCACCCAAAAAGGGGCATATATTTAAAAGAGAATTTTGTATGTGTGCATTAGTGATTCGCACCTCAAAGGAGCAAAAACATGTGTGATGTCTTATAGAAGCAAACCATTCACATGACACATTCTATTTTAATTCGCACCTGCAGTTCCCCACTGGAAGTGTAAATCCAGCCCTTACAGGTTTCATGAAAAGAACACAATCTAAACCTTTGTTGCCAGTGTCCCTGCATGTTAAGCACTCCCACTGAACGCACACACACACACGCACACACCAACACACAAAACATTTTGGTTGTTACTCCAGCAGATAGTGACTAAACCAGCTGGATTTCCTCATTAAACCTGACAACCAAAATGAGACCTGGATGTGTTGCTTACTCTGCTCAGCCTGAGAAGCAAAATAGGAAACACAAACATGAACAATGTGTGAAAAGGGTGTAGAGACACGCACATCCAACTCTGTAGGAGTGTGTAGAACCAAAAGATTACACCATGTGATTTTTTTTTTGCACAACCCAACTAATCCTAACCCAACTTGGGACAAAAAACCCCCCCTTAAATTCACAGTGTGGCCATAGCGCCTTATGTTTTAGTAAGAATAAATCAGCATTGCCATTTCCATCAGAAAATGTCATTTATATTGGTCTTATATATGGGAACACAGACAACATATGAACTTCAAATATACAGAATATGAAAAAATTACTCTCTTGGGACTTGGGATTTTGGGACTCTCTTAAGTAATAGACATAAAGGGAATATCCAGTTACATTTCTCATTTTAGAAGCTTGACATTTTCCTCTTTTTACTTGGTAGGTACTCTTTTTTTTAATGCAATCCAGCATACGATTAATGTCCCCCTCACTGATGCCTCTGATCCATGGTGCCATTGTTCATTCATTCAACACCGGTTTTAGACAGCGTGACCTGTCTTCTACAAGCTTCTTCATAACTTATGCTCCCATAACCAACGCCCCAACCACCAAATCACCCGTCGTCCCATTTGTCCAAACACAAACGCACATAGATCAGCATCAAAACCAATGCGTTCAATATCCAGGCCCTGTCACCCCAAGACACAGAACATATAACTGACATCAATAGCACATCAATATATTTGGCATAGGATAATAACATATTCATTCTTCCTTAAAAGCAAATTTACTAAGTATTGGCAAAATGGATGGACATTAATACACTTGTCAATCGAAGACGAAAACTCTATACCTAATAAAGCTCTATAGGATTGAAAAATGTTTAAGCAATTTTTAATGGGAGGGCAGCCTAAGACAAAGCAATGCAATCATGCTTTTGAATCAACCTCGCATACGTCTTGCCCTGACAGCCCCCAGCCCACTTTATAAATCTTCGCACATCAAAAATGATTCACGCGGCTCAAAAAAGAAAAAGAAAGAGAACAAAAAAATCTTCCATATAGACGTTTTCTCTGCACTCGCACTAATCCTTTCCATTTCGTCTACGCCTCAAAGTGTGCCTGACCGCAAGCCGGCCTGATCATCAGTCCCCCCCCAGTGCAGGCATCGACGCTAAAGCACAGATCAATACCAATAGTGAAGCAAATAGATCAGGTTGGCGTGAGCACTATACCCCCGGGACCCCCATGTGGCAGTGCAAGTCAGTCTCTAAAGCAACATACCTCACTCACAGTAACAACATGTTTATCCTAAGGTGAACATCTAGCAACCCTGGGGACTTTGAAGAACGAAAGAAAAAGAGAAGAAGAAAAAACTAGGGTAGTATATTAGAAGGAATACAGTAAGAATTCACTCCGGTCAGTGTTGGTTAATGAGGTCAGGGCCTCATGGTGAGATTTGAAAATGGAAGAGGGACGAGGCATTTAAAGGGTTAGTTTAGTTGGGTGTCTAAAGCCGAGCAGATTTATAGAAGAGCTGTGAGGCCTGTCCATAGCGCCCGCTGACAGGCTAACCTCTGTGTTCAGGCTTCTGCAGCGTCTGATTGGCTAAGATTGGACAGATCACTGGAGGAAAACTAAATCCTTTGTTATATCTTGGACACAATTTCTAACAACAGTCATTTTCGTTGCTGGACTTCGCCGTGATTGCCTTGAAATCCCATGTGAAGCCATTTTAAATCTCAGGACTCTTGGAAAGCTGAGTTTGATTTTAGATGAATCACAAATGGTATTTTTGTTTTTTTTTGTGCTCAGATAATACCAGGAAGTCTGTGGATTGGCATAAATCAGTTGAAAATGAAGGACCATATCAGAATGAAATTTTACAGCCAGACTAAAACTGTTCCAAACTCAGAAGATACAGATTGAACCAGAACTAAAACAGGAGAAAAACAGTCCAATCAGAAATGTTAAAGCAAGGGTACCCCTTTTT